ATCTAGATTTTAAAAAAAGGCAGCACAATAAGATGATTAGTGTTCATTTCATCACAATAACCATCACTATCTAAAATGAGAGAATAAGGGAAGTACTTTAGAGCAAAAACATAAAAACAATCCGTCAGTACACTCTGAGGATGATTACCAATGAGGTTGCGGGAGAGCTCGGCTGCAATGTCGCAGACCTTCTTGCGGATGTTTGGCAAGGTCTCCTGCTGGATGCTGGTCAGCAGTTCCGTCTTGATGACCGTCTGCATCTCCATGGTCAGGCCCGGGTAGATCTCCTCGAAGGACGATGACAGCAGCCGCCGCAGCAGCACTGCAGCCATCTGTCTGACCTGAGAATTAGTTTCAACATTTCGTTACACTACCCACTGTGGCCTCCAACACCAAAGTTCATGACTTAAACTAATATTGTCTTAGCAGGAGATGGAGAATATTACTTGTATGTTTGTAGGTCTAGTGCACTGATTAAGATGCCAACGTTGATGTTAGCGACCAGTTGTGTACCATAGTGTCTTCAGGTGTCTCGCCCTTTTAATCACAACAGCGATACAAGCAGAACCTGAGGGTACGCTAAGACTAAAGGTAAATCTGAGTGGCTACTGAGCAACTTGATGGATGTTGCAACAAATCTGTGACACAAATAAGTTTAAGCAACAACTTCCTTGTGGGTTCATTTAGACGGTTAACAAAGCCTGCAGCTGCCAAAGCATGTTAGAATGAACTGGGTGTCTAATTGGAATAAGTGGTCCCTCCAAAATAAAAGCCACTCTGAGCATCCCAGAAAGGCAGAGTCACCCTCCCTGGGCCGAGCACCTCTATGCCTACTCTCATTTCAAGACTCTAAAAATACCAGCCTCAAAGTAAAGAAAAGGAGAGAAGCATGGAGGACCAAGCAGCTGCTACGCTCAGACTCAGAGTAAACATAACAGCCAAAATGCCAAAATTGTGACTCGTGTGTCTTCGTGTCAGGGTGTGGTGAGGGCACACGTGATGATAAATGACATTCTTAAAATGCCATCAATGCTGTTGATGTAATACAGAATCATGATTGTGATGATGTAATATAGCACGAACTTTGTCAACAACACTTACAATATGAATCCTTTTAACCCAAAATGCTCTTAACTGCTTGTTCAGAAATGGCCAGAGATAATACATTTTGTTGAGAGGCATAAGTTAAAGATTTCCGTAGCCTTCCTTCAGTTAAAGCCAAAAAAAAGTCTTGGTACAAACCTCCTCTGCAGCAGATGCATCTCTGATGGCCTGCAGCAAGAATGTGATCTTGTTCTGGCCGGGGATAGTGTCATAGGTCTCCTGCAAAGAAAATTACGGATAGTGGTAAGGATGAGTCGTCCCATTTGGTGAATCGCGAGCAACAAGACAGATGTACAATTTCAGACATTCCATGGAAAATGGATCACTACCAGTCAGAGTCAATTTGCACGTGCCTGTGCGTCCACGCTGTGGCACATTTCGAACTGAAACAGATGCTGTGGTCAGTCAACAACTGTCCAGAAATCTTTTTAATTTCTGACGGTAATATACTGTAAACACAAAACCCCTCAAATGTAGCAAAGCAAGAATGGAAGAAAGGCAGGGACAACATAATTTCTTCGTGATGCGTCGTAACTCACAAAGCTGGAAATCTACATAAACTGGTCCCTTTTCTGATGCATATTGCGTGCTGCCTGTTTGTGTTGTGTGTCTCCACTTGCAGTGGTTCTAAGAAAATGCAAGAAATGCAAACACGAAGGGGGATGGGCTCCATGGAGATGAGTTGAAACCTCGGGCGTGTGCTCCAGGGACAAAATAACTGATGGAACTTATCATGTGCAAGTGGAGCTAATGGTAAACAAAAATGTGGATTTGTTCGTCAAGTGATTTCCAAGCAAACACAAGTAGATGTCTTCTGGAAAAAATGTGACTGAGAAAATAACCTTATAAAATAGATAAATAGAGGGTTTTTAAAGTGAATACATTTGCATGACAAAGAAGCAGGACAGGGAGGACCAGTATCACTGTGGCACATGTAAAGACATTTAAATGGAAACTGCATGGCCACATTAGAGTGTTTCAAGTTAGCAGATGTAACAGTGAATGTAAATACAACCCAACTCCTTCAAGTAGTGTCTCAATATAACCGTATTTCTAGTGACTAGGTCTGTCAAACATTAAAAGTACTTTTACCGAACATCAAGTAGTCCCAAGTATTTCAACATGACTTTGCAGTATTAATGAAATAAAGAACCATCTTCAGCCTTTAAGTAGACCTGACATATGTGACACATTGATCTTAAAGACTGTTGGACTTCCATGCAATCACTAGTTGTTTAAGTGTAGCTGTGCAGTCCCCTGCATCTGGATCAATCCCCATTATGTGTGTAAGACAGTTTCTATAAAGGATAGATTCCAATGAGCTTAGCATCGCGGCAGACAGTCTGTGTTTTATAAAGGAAAACGCTGACTGACTGAATGGAGGGCTTTGAGATAAGATTCAACCCCCTCATGCAAAAGTGGGCAAACTGTGGTGACAAAAGCTTTGCAGCGTCCAGGGGGCTGATCGTGGTTTGTGTGTGTGTGTGTGTGTGTGAAGGGACCAGGCCAGCTAGACTCTCACCCAGCCCCAAACAAATCCTCACAGAAACTAATCCAGTGAGAGGGACGAGGGTGTGTGTGTAGTGGCATGGCTGTAACTGAGAGAAATCGCTTCACGGATCACGTCAGACCAAAACAACAATAAGGA